ACAGTAATATTTTTCTACCATAGTAGATTCAAAATAAATTAACTACCGTCGGGATAACTCCATCGTGGGTTAGTTTGTACAACTTTACAAAGTATCTTGGGTTTTGGAGTTGGTTCGATTATGATTCGCTGATTATTGTTGGATTTCGTTGTTACCGATTTGAGTGTTTTTTTCATTGATATTTCCAATTTTATTTCTTGTTCTCTGCATTTTAGGTACTATTTGCGAAGCAAGCAAGGTTGTAATAAGAAAGGAGAAAAAATGAGTCAAGAACCATATTCCTTGGTTGAGTGTTGTAAAGATCATGATAAGCGGAGCGACGATGATGGAAATAATCAGTAGAAATCTAAGACGAAAGCAAGGAATATCAGTACACCACGGCTGAGTACAATCGGTAAAATCTCATATTCCTTTTTCTGCGACCGAAGTTGAGTTGAAATTCGAACGAACAATCAATAGAACCTCGTGAACTAATCGCTATTGTTCTTCTTCTTCTTCGCTCAATTTTGTTGTAATATCATATTTTATATATATATAGAAGGATCTTAGAAGATCCAAGATATTATTAGTGAATATATTGTATTTATTATATAGATTTGTATCTACCATAGTTTAGGAAATCTCATCTCTATATAAATACATGTAATTCCTATGTGGTATCAGAGCAGGTTCGCTCCAAAGTTTCGATCAGGTTTGCTCCAAAGTTCATGAGAGTAAATATAATTCTTCCCATTTAATCTCTCATCATCTCTAATATGGTATCAGAGCAGGTTTGCTCCAAAGTTTCGATCTAGCGATCAAACTTCTTATTATGTGTTTCTTTTCTTTTGATTTTCGTTAAGCCAAGTGATTTCACCATTCAAGTTCATCATGAACCTAAGTGCCTCTGAATCTAAGCCAGAGAGCTTCTTCTTATTCAAATCTATCATAGACCTCTGAATCTAAACCACATGCTTCCCAGTTTCGATCTAATGATCAAAATCCGTTTTATTTTCTTATCGTTTTGATTTCTTAAGCCAATGTGCTTCTGCCAGTATGCTTCCTTTTAGGTTTTATTTTGCAGCCACTTATCTCTTTCCCAACTTCTCAAATCTTCCTTT